CACATACTTTTATGTATTCTTCATTTCTTACCCTAGAGAAACTATTTGGTATTTATACATGTGAGTTTGATTTATTTCACTTATGAGTATGATCTCAAGCTGCATCCATTTATTTATAAATGTCTCAATGTGATCATTCTTTATAGCTGAGTAGTACTCCATTGTATCCATTCCTCAGTTGATGGACACTTACGTTGTTTCCAAGATCTGGCAATTACAAATTGGGCTGCTATAAACATGGGTGCACATATATCACTGTGGTATGATGCTTTCAGTTCTTCTGGGAATATGCCTAGAAGTGGAATAGCTGGGTCAAATGGGGGTTCCAGTCCCAGTTTTCTGAGAAATCTCCAGACTGACCTCCACAATGGTTACACTAGTCTACACTCCCACCAGCAGTCCAGGAGAGTTCCTTTTTCCCCCCAGCCTCTCCAGCATTTGTTGTTAGTGGTTTTCTTGATCTTGGCCATTCTTTCAGGAGTGAGATGAAATTTCAGTGTGGTTTTAATTTGCATTTCTCTAATGACTAATGATGACGAACATTTTTTCATATATTTATTTACCATTTATATTTCTTCTTCTCTGAATTGTTTGTTCATCTCAGATGCCCACTTTTGGATTGGGTCTTTGAATTTTGGGGGTCTGATTTTTAAAAATTCTTTATATGTTTTAGACAGAAGTCCTTTGTCTGAGGGGCAGTTCACTAAGATTTTTTTCCTAGTTTGTGGGTTTTCTTTTCACTGTGCTGGAGATTTCTTTTGACATGCAGAAACTTTTTAATAAGAGGTGATCCCAGTTATTGACTCTGGGAAGTATTTCCCGTGTGGTTTGAGTCCTATTAATGAATTCTCTACCTATGTCCTATGTCTTCAAGGTTTTTATCCAATTTGTCTTCCAATAGATTTAGTGTTTCTGTTTTAGTATTTAGATATTTGATCCATTTAGATTTTATTTTAGTACATGGTGATAGGCATGGTTCTAGTTTTAGTTTTCGGCAAATGGAGAGCCAGTTTTTCCAGCACCATTTATTAAAGAGACTGTCGTTCTCCCAGTGAATATGTTCGGCCCTTTATCGAAGATAAGGTGGTTGAATGTGTTTGTAGTTGTGGTTGTATCTTCTAATCTATTCCACTGATCTTCAGCTCTGTTTTGATTCCAGTACCATGATGATTTTACTACTGTTGCTTTGTAGTATAACTTCAAGTCAGGGATTGTGCTACCTCCTGTCTTGCCTTTGCTGCTTAGAACTGTCCTTACTATTCTAGGTCTCCTCTGGTTCCAGATGAATTTTAGGAGTGATTTCTCGAGTTCTATGAGGTATGTTGATGGTATTTTTATCGGGATTGCATTGAATCTGTATAAAAGTTTTGGGAGAATGGCCATTTTCACAATGTTTGTTCTTCCTATCCATGAGCAAGGGATGTTTTTCCATTTTTCTGAGATCATCTTCAATTTCATTTTTCAGTGTAATATAATTTTCCCGGTACAGGTCTTTCACTTCTTTCGTGAGAGTAATTCCTAGATATTTCATTTTTTTGGTTGCTAGTGTGAAGGGTGTGGCTTCTCTTATTTATCTTTCTGTGACTTTGTTGTTAGTGTATAGGAATGCTATTGATTATTGAGTATTGATTTTATTGCCAGCTACATTAATAAATTTATTTATTATATCTGGCAGTCTTTCAATGGAGTTTTGGGGATCTTCTATATAGAGTATCATGTCATCTACAAATAATGATAGCTTAACTTCTTTTTTTCCTATCTTTACGCCTTTTATTTCTCTCTCTTGTCTAATTGCTCAGGCTAGTATTTCCAGTACTATATTAAATAGGAGCAGTGATTAGGAACATCCTTGTCTTCTACCTGATTTTAAAGTAAAGGCCTTCAATTTTTGGCCATTTAGTATGATATTGGCTGTTGGTTTGTCATAGACGGCCTTTATTATATTGAGGTAAAGACCATCTATTCCAATTTTCTGCAAAGTTCTTATCATAAATGAATGTTGGACCTTATCAAAAGCTTCTTCTGCATCTATAGAAATGATCCTGTGGTTCTTGGCTCTATTGATATGGTGTATTACTTTTTTTGATTTATGTATATTGAACCATCCCTGCATGCCTGGGATGAATCCCACTTGGTCATGGTGTATGATCTTCTTGATGATTTGCTGCATCCTATTTGCCAATATTTTATTGAAGATTTTTGCATCTGTGTTCATTAGGGAGATTGGCCTATAGTTCCCTTTTTCAGTTGGGTCCTGTTCAGGTTTTGGTACTAGAGTAATATTTGATTCTAGGAACGAATTAGGAAGGATTGCTTCCCTTTCAATTTCATTGAAGAGTTTGAGGAGTGTTGGCATTAGGTCTTCTTCGTATTTCTTGTAGAATTCTGCAGTGAATCCTTCTGGTCCTGGGTTTTTCTTTGTAGGTAAGGATTTAATTATGTTTTTTGATATCATTAATAGAAATTGGGTTATTCAGTAGTTTTACATCTTCATGATCTAGCTTTGGTACTTCATATGCTTCTAGGAATCTGTCCATTTCCTCTGTGTTATCAAACCTTTGAGAGTAGAGGTTTTCGAAATAGGTGTTGATGATTTTCTGTATTTCTATAGGGTCTGTAGTGATTTCTCCTCTTTCATTCCTTATTGCATGAATTTGAGCTTTTTCTTCCCTTTTTAAAATAAGGTTGGCTAGGGGCTTGTCAATTTTATTTATTCTTTCAAAGAACCAACTCTTGTGTCTTGGGGTTTAGCTCAGTGGCATAAGCGCCTGCTTATGCCTTGAAAGCAGGCAGTCATGAGTTCGATCCCTGGTACCGATAAAAAGGAAAAAGACAAAAAAAAAAAAAAAAAAAGAACCAACTCTTTGATTCATTGATTTTTTGGATTGTTTTTTAGTCTCTATTGCATTGATTTCTGCTCTGATTTTTATAATTTCTTCTCTTCTTTTGCCTTTGGGCTTGACTTCCTCTTCTTTTTCTAGATGTTTGAGGTGTAACATCAGGTTATTTATTTGTATTTGTTCTGTTTTCCTAATGTGTGAACTCAGTGCAATAAATTTTCCTCTGAGGACAGCTTTCATTGCATCCCACAGATTCCAGTAAGTTGTATCTGTATTTTCATTTTCTTGTAGGTATTGTTGAATTTCTTCTTTACTTTCCTCTGTGACCCACTGGTTACTCAAGAGTGTGTTATTCAGTTTCCATGTGTTTGTGGGAATTTTGCAGTATCTTTTATCATTAATTTCTAATTTCATAGTGCTATGGTCCAATAGCATGCAAGGGGTAATTTCAACCCTTTTGCATTTATTTAAATATGTTTTGTGAATTAATATATGGTCTATTTTAGAGAATGACCCATGCACTGCTGAGAAGAATGTGTATTCTGTTGTTGTTGGGTGAAATACTCTGTCTATGTCTATTAAGTCTATTTGTTCACAGGTGCAATTCAGTTCTTTTATTTCTTTGCTGATTTTCTGTCTGGTTGATCTGTCCATTGGTGTCAGTGGTGTGTTAAGATCTCCTGTTAGAATTGTGTTACTGTTAATTTGGTTTTTCATTTCTGTTAGTACTTGTTGTATATAACTGGGTGCTCTGGAATTTGGTGCATATATATTTAAGATAGTTATCTCTTCCTCTTGGAGTTTTCCCCTAACCAGTATGTAGTGACCTTCTTTATCCCTTCTGACCATTATTGGCTTGAAGTTCACATCGTCTGCAAACAGAATAGCCACCCCTTCTTTTTTTGGGTTCCTGTTGCATGAAGTATTGTTTTCCATTCTTTGACTTTCAGTCTGTGAGTATCCTTTTGGGTTAGATGGATTTCTTGTAGACAACATATGGTTGGGTTTTGTTTCTTGACCCATTCTGCCAGTCTGTTTCTTTTGATTGGTGCATTGAGACCATTTACATTAATAGTTAGAACTGTTATATATTGGTTTATTGTTGACATGTTATCTTTCTGCTGTTGCATCTTTATCATTCAGTTATGTTTAATTGTCTGTTTTGTTTAGTGGTTTTTTCCTAAATGTGTATAGGCTGTCTTTCATTATTCTTTTCAGGGTTGGCTTGGTGATCATGTAATTTTTTAGCTGTTCTTTGTCACGGAAGTATCTTATTTCTCCATCCATTTTGAAGGACAGTTTTTCAGGGAACATCAACCTAGGTTGGAAATCATTTACCTTTAGGATCTCAAATACTTCACTCCATGCTCTTCTTGACTTTATTGTTTGTGCTGAGCAGTCTGCTGTGATTCTCATAGGTTTTCTTTTATAGGCAATCTGTCTTTTCTCTCTGACAGCTTTTAATATTCTATTCTTTTGTTCAATTTCTGAGATGGCCATTATTATGTGTCTGGGTGTAGTTGTACAATAATTTAGACTAGGGCAAGAATCTTTCAAGAAGACCTCAAAAACTCCACCAACATATTACTAGAATTAATAACTAAATTCAGTAATGTAGCTGGATAGAGTCAGAACTCAAAAATCAATAGCCTTCATGTTCACAAATAACAGACTCACTAACAGAGAAATAAGGGAAACAATACCTTTCACAACAGCTTCCAAAAAATGTAATACCTAGGAATACAATACCTAGGAATGGATCTAGTGAAGGATATAAAAGACCTCAATATTGAAAATGACAGTGCTCTTAAAAAGGAGATTGAATAGTGTTGTGCTCTAACAAAAGTGCTGCCATTCTGGTCTGTGTGTCGTTACCCTGGTAACCCTGTACTCTGTCTCAACCTTTGTCCCCCTTTGTAAAGGACAGTTGTTCCTGGAATTAGTGGACCACAAGTTGTCAAGTTCCCGTAAAGGAGGAACTCGCTGACTGCCAGCTGCAAAACTTCCAGTAAAGGCAACTGATTAAGCAAGCAACTCTGCCCCGAAGCCAAAGAAGAGAACAAAAGCCTCCTCCACCCTTATCTCCTCCCACCCCTGCTTTGCAGTTTTTTCCTTTATAAGCCTCCCAAAAATTTAACCTAATTGCACAGCTTTGCAAACTCCATCGCACTGTGTCACTGGGTACCCGTCTAAATAAAGTGCTTCTTTTTCTTTTAAAGATTTTTTGCCCCATTTTTTTTCTTTTTTCTTTTTATGGGTACCGGGAATCGAACTCACGACCGCCTGCTTGCAAGGCAGGCACTTATGCCGCTGAGCTAAATCCCCAGCCCCTCTTGCCCCATTTTTTGAACAGCATTTTCGGATCTTGTTTTTGGGGTACAACATTTGGGCACTTGTCCAGGATATCTCGAGGACCCCTCCCCAAATTATTTTTCACTGATCGGCTTAACATCTGTAAGTACTTGGGGCTTTCCACCCATTTGTAATTTGGGTGCACACATGTTTAATTGAAGATGAGCCCAGTGCTCCTTCTGCATTGACGTGGGATGCCCTCCAGGGGCTTTTTGCCTGTTTGTAATTTGGGGCTTATTGTCATTTGTAATTTGGGGATTCTTTGCCCATTTGACTTTATGTTCAGTGTTTCTGTACCTTAGGGCAATGTGCCCATTTGAATCTGTTACTAACTTTGGGGCTTTTCTGCCCGTTTGTACTTGTTGAATTTGTTACTAACTTAGGGGCTTGGAGCCCATTTGAACTTTTTCTGTTACAGGCTCCATGTGGCTTATTGGACTCAAGGGTCATAATGAAAATTATTTCCCTTTAGGGTTTGGATTGGCCTCATTCATAACACCCCCCTCTTGGTGCCATTAAAACCAAAACCAGCTCTGAGCCAGGTCCTGCCTGCCAAGGAAAAAACCATGCCCCAAAGAGACTGGAGAGAAGAGAGGGAAAAAAGGGTGAGTCTACTGTGAAAAGTCATTTTATCTGGGAGTAACGTAAGGGGCAAAAGGTTTCACTGGAGGAGCAAATGCATTTGCAACTGCTCCAAAGCCTGCTTAAATGCTCAGGGGCTCATGTGCCAAAGAAAGACACACCATTTCCCCCCCAAACCATTCTCAACTTGGAATCTGGTCCGTTCAGTTTTAAGCACATTAAAGAGCTCACAGTCCAAAGACTCTGATTTGGATATAGAAGGAAGAGAGCTCCCTGCTGAGGCATCTGCCACCTTTAGGAAAAATAACTCATACGGCTCTATCCAGAAACTTACAGGTAGTGCAGGAAGAGGCAGCTGCAAAGGGAGCAAATAATACCCTCCCTGCTTGCTTCCCAGTAGGAATTGTAACAGATGATAATGATCAGAAGTATTTTATTCATAAGCCTTTTGAAATACAACTGCTAAAAAAGTTAAACAAAGTGTGGTTAACAATGGAGTCCAAAGTCCATTTACTGTGGGGCTCTTGCAAAATGTTTTGGGTACATATCAACTGACACCTTATGATATCAAACATTTGGCACAAACATGCTTGTCTCCTGCTCAATTCTTGCATTTTGATGTAAAGCTAAAAACTCTTGTCTTGGAGCAGGCTCATAAAAATAGGACAGGTCCCAATCCACATCCAGCAATAAATGAGGAAATGCTTTTTGGGATAGGAATTTGGGGTCCCCCACCTAAGGAACAGTTGGTCTTGTGCTGGGAAAGGCTGATCTAAATTTCAAAGGCATAACTATTGTGCCTAGTGTGATTGATGGTGATCGTGGAGATGAAATACAAGTTCTTGCATGTGCTATGGACATCTGGGTTTTTGAACAGGGAGACTACGTGGCACAGTTGATTTTGTTACCTATAGAGAAACCTTCTTTTGTTAAGTATAGACAGCTCAGGAGGGAGCAAGACCCTCAGAGCAAAACTACAAAAAGAGAAATTTATTTTATATAGGAAGTGACTAAAATCAGGTTTGTGTTTTATAAACATTAATGGGGAATACTTTGAAGGTCTGATAGACACTGTTGCAGATGTGTCTGTGATTGCATTAGAACAATGGCCTGCCAGTGGCTAACACAAAGGGCCCCTACATCCCTTATCAGACTGGAGACCACTCCACATGTGTTACAGAGTGCCTCACCTTTGCCTTATGAGGGACCAGAACAACAAAAGGGTTTCTTTTTATCTTATGTGGCACCTATTCCAGTTAACTTGTGGGGAAGAGATTTGTTACAAAAGTGAAAATTAGTGTTGACTAGTAATTCTGATTTTATTTTTCTTTTCTTTTTTTTTTTTGTCTTTTTTGTTTTTATTGGTACCAGGGATCGAACTCACGACTGCCTGCTTGCAAGGAAGGCGCTTATGCCACTGAGCTAAATCCCCAGTCCAGTAATTATGATTTTATTTTATTTTATTTTATTTATTTTTTTTTGTCTTTTTCATTTTTATCGGTACCAGGGATCGAACTCGTGACTGCCTGCTTGCAAGGCAGGTGCTTATGCCGCTGAGCTAAATCCCCAGCCCAATAATTCTGATTTTAAAGCTGAACAAACAAGTTCCAATTTGGAAACTGAACAAATAGACTCAGACCCCAAATTTAAAAAAGATGATTAAAATGAGATATTAAAAAGGCAAAGGACTAGGAAAAAACCCTTTGCCCCCCTTCTATTGACCCCATGCTCTGACGCCCTTGGCTCTGGGACTGGAGCTCTCCTCTCATCCTATCCCTCTGCACCATTGTTTACCTGTTCTCTGCCTCTGACCTCTACAATTGGAAACAGCAGAACCCATCCTTTTCTAAGGATCCCCAAGGCCTCATTTCCCTTCTGGAATCTACGTTTTTCACTCATTGTCCCACTTGGGATGACTGTCAGCAACTGCTCCAGGTACTATTTACTGCAGAGGAGAGAGAGTGCACACTGGGACAGTACATGATCCAGATGGAAACCCGTCCTCTGATCCCAAATGCCAGAACCATGTCTTCCCTTTGTCCTGCCCCAATTGGAACCCTAATATGACTGGAGGTAAGGAGGCTCTCGATCAGTATTGCCAGTTGTTCTTGGAAGCCCTTAATGGCGCTGCCAGAAAAGCCACCAATTTGTCCAAGGTATCAGAGGTAAGGCAATCGGCTAACGAGTCTCCCTCAGGGTTTCTGGAAAGATTGAAAGAGGCCTATCCCATTTATACACCCACAGATCCTGAAAATGCAAGGGCCATTAATATTGCCTTTGTAACCCAGTTGAGCCCTGATATTTAAGCGAAAAATGCAAAAGCTTGAGGGATTTGAGGAAATACCCCTTAGTCAGTTATTAGAGATTGCTCAAAATATATTTGATAACCGGGAGGACCCAAAAGACCCGAAGTGGACAAAGGTGCTGGGGATGCTAGCCAACAAAGTCACCTAGCCCGATGTGAAGTCTCCTCCACCCCTAGATAAAAATCAATGTGCTTATTGCAAAGAGAAGGGGCATTGGTGAAATGTCCCAAGATCTTCTGTGGGCCCTGGATGATCTGGGCTATAAGGTCTCTGCTAAAGAGGCCCAACTATGCCAAAAGCATGTGACCTACTTAGGTTACCAAATCCATGAAGGAAAATGGACTCTCGCCTCCTAGCAGGTACAATCCATCCAACAGATTCCGGTCCCCGTGACTAAAAAGTAAATGCAAGAATTTTTAGGAGCCATAGGATATTGCTGGCTTTGGATAACGTGGCAGTCGGATGGCCACTTTGTCTGCGGGTGATTTCCTCAGTGGCCCTCCTGGTAAAGGAGGCTCAAAAATTGACTTTTGGACAAAAGCTCTTAATTGTCTCCTCTTATTCACTGGAGACCCTCATCAAGGCTCCACCAAACAGGTGGGTGTCCACTCCCGAGTCATGCACTATCAGGCACTACTTCTGGATCCGACTACTATCAGTTTCAAGGAGACAGCAGCTTTAAATTCTGCTACTTAGCTATCTGATGATAACCCCTCCTTGCCCCTCCACAACTGTATTGATCACCTCATGGGGCTCCGACCAGACCTGACAGATGAGCCCCTATCCGGAGTTCCATCATACTTCTCTGATGGGAGCAGTTACATCTATCAAGGTAAGCAGGTCAAGGGAGCTGCCGTTACCACAGACTCTCAGATTCTATAGGAATAAACCCTGGAGCCAGGAACATCGGCCCAATAGGCTGAACTCACTGCCCTCACTGGGGCCCTCAAGTTGTCAAAAAGTAAAGATATAAACATTTATACTGATATCAGATATGCATTTGCTACTGCCCATGTTCATGGCACCATTTATCAAGAACGGGGTCTATTGACTTCTGGGGGCCAAAAGTTCAAAAATCCTCCCCAAATTTTAGATTTGTTGCTGCCATTTGGATGCCAAGAAAAGTGGCTATCATCCACTGTAAAGCCCATCAAGTGGGAGATGATCCTGTTATACGAGGAAACAATCTGGCAGACACCACCGTCCAAAAGGTGGCCATAAAATCAGTGGGGATTGGGACATTACTGCTGATCCCACTTACTCTGTCAGAGCCCATTTACACTCAAAAAGATTTGCATCTGGTGGCTCAACTTCAAGCAAAGTCTAATATCCCTGGGGGCTGGTATCAACTGCCTGATAATCGAGTCCTCTTCCCCAAGGCATTGGGACCTGAACTCATCCAACAACCCCATAAGTCCACTCACTTGGGAGGACCAAAGCTCAATGTCCTTTTCTGGGATCATTTCTTTATTCCTCAATTATCAAAGCTTACCCAATCTGTGAGCCTCAGATGCCCCCACTGCCAATTAGTGAACCCAAAGTGACTGCAACAAATAGAAACCACTCGCTACCATGGGACCATGCCTGGAGAACATTGAGAAGTAGAGTTTACAGAAATGGGAAAGCCTGGACTTCTAGGGTATAAGTACTTTCTAGTAATGGTTGATACTTTCACTGGATTGGTCAAAGCTTTTCCTACTAAGTCTGAGTCAGCCCTGATAGTAGTGTCCCCCATTTGGCCTCCCCTTACCTGTGGGGTCCAACAATGGCCCGGCTTTCATAGCCCAGATAACTGAAAAACTAACCCACACCTTGCAGATTGATTGGAAACTCCATTGTGATTACTGGCCTCAGAGTTCAGGACAAGTAGAAAGGATGAATCAGACTTTAAAAATGGTAATAACTAAGATGGCCTTGGAAACTGGCAAGAACTGGGTGAGTCTCTTTGCCCTCTTGCATGCATGATGTACCCCCTACATTGCTGGTATTTCCCCTTTTTGAGGCTTTATATAGGAGACCCCTACCTTCATCCCTAAGATTTCTGAAGAAAAACTAGCTGATCTAGCTAAACCAAGATCTTATTAAGTCCCCCCCCCCCCCGCCACCCAGGCCCTTCAGCCAGTTCTGACTTCCATCCACCGGTTATTCCAACAACAACATCCTCTTCCTGCAGCCCATTCTGAGGATGAACACACTGCTGTGGAACCTGGAACACTAGTCCTCCTCAGAAGACATCACTGAGAATCTCTCGAACCATGGTGGGAGGGCCCCTACACCATGGTCCTCAGCACTCCAACCACTGTCAAAGTCACCGAGAAACCTGCCTGGATCCATCATTCTGACTTCAAGTCTGTCCTGGCCTCCAATGGCGATCGATCTGCAGATAAGTGGACTGTTATCCCCTTCAAGGACCCCTTAAAGCTTAAGATTGCCAAATGTACCTAATAGTCTTATTTCTATGGGTTTCTTATGGAGACTTCAGGGGCACATCTCATAATCCTCAATTTGGAACTTGGAAAATAACTGATTATAATACTGGTGAGATGTTGGCAACCAACACCACTGTCCATGGTATAATTAAACTAGATTTGTTTGCTCTATTAAATAAGATCCCAGTAAAAATTAGACAAAAGATGATAAAAATAGGACAGTATGCCATGCAGCACATCTGGCAGATTAAAGGAAGGCAAACTGGGCCTTGCAAAGACCTGAATAGTCAAAAGAAATTACACTCCATTGGCTGGTACCTCTGCCCCCAGATACAGCAACCAGCTACTGACCTTGCCCATATTGGAGCATCTAGAGATTATCATACCTGGAAGTGTTCACAGTCCTTAGAGACAAAATACTTTTGTAGATATTGGAGTGGTGGGATCAATGGGTTTAGGAGTGTGCAGTCTAGTAATCGGAGATCAGAATTACAGGCACTTAAGTGCTCTTATCAATCAGGATCTAGCCACACTCAATGAATCTGTCTCCAAGCTGGGAGAGTCCTTGAGTTCCCTGGCTGAGATGGTTTTACAAAACTGATGGGGACTAGATCTCCTATTCCTAAAAGAAGGTCTCTGCTTGGCTTTAGGGGAAAACCGCTGTCTGTACGCCAATCATTCTGGAGGCATCAGGCAGAACATGGCTAACCTTAAAAAGTGATTGCAAGAACAAGAACAAGCCAGGCAGGCTGAACAGAGCTGGTCTGAACGTTGACTCTCCTTCTCTCCTTGGTTAACAACTGTATTAATGGCAACCATAAGACCTTTGTTAATCCTCCTCGTCTGTGTAACTATCGGGCCTTGTATTATAAACAAATTAATAAGTTATGTTAAAGACTGAGTTTAGGCCGTTAACTTAATGATCCTAAGAACACAAGGCTATGAACAGACAGCTCTAATGGAAGCTCCTTCCATGAGTCAATGATTTGACTCACGGGACAAAAATCAGTGGGGAATGTTGTGCTCTAACAAAAGTGGGGCCATTCTGTTCTGTATGTGTCCTTACCCTGGTAACTCTGTACTCTGTGTCAACCTTTGTCCCCCTTTGTGAAGGACAGTTGTTCCTGGAATTAGCTGACCACAAGTAGCCAAGTTCCTGTAAAGGAGGAACTAGCTGACCACCAGCTGCAAAACTTTGCATAAAGGCAACTGATTAAACAAGGAACTCTGCCCCCAAATAAGAGAACAAAAGCCTTTCTCACCCTTATCCTCTCCCCTCCCACCCCTGCTTTGCAGTTTTTTCCTTTATAAGCCTCCCAAATATCTAACCTAGTTGCACAGCTTTGCAAACTCCATCGCACTGTGTTGCTGGGTACCAGTCTAAATAAAGTGCTTCTTTTTTTTAAAAAGATGTCTTGCCCTGGTTTTTGAGCAGCATTTTGCAGTCTCATTTTTGGGGTACAACAAATAGGACATTAGAAAACGGAGAGACATCCCACACTCTTGGTTAGGAAGTACCTAATAACGCAGCTTGGGCTGGAACCATAACTAAGGCCCCATCATCCTGTGTAAGGGGATTAACTCACTTCAGAGACAACTCTCACCACACACACACACACTCCTGTCCTGTCAAAGAAAAATCTATGACTGCGAAAATGTGGACAAAGTTATGGAAGACAGTCCCAGCAAGACCTAGAACAGTTTGAAAATTGACAGATAAAAACAGGACCAATTATAACTTTTCTTTAAAAAAGAGAAGAGAGACTTTGTAAGAAACAAAAAAGTGATCTATTTTCAGGACAAGGACTTTTAGCTTGAGAATGTGACTGAGGTCAGGTCATGCATTGGAGAGGGTGTTTAAGCACCAGGGGGAGGCTACATGGTCAATTAAGTATGGAAGTTACCATGCTAATGTTGTACCCCAAAAACGAGACTCCGAGATGTTGTCCAAAAATGGGGCAAGACGTCTTTAAAGGAAAAAGAAGCGCTTTATTTAGGCTGGTACCCAGGGACACAGTGTGATGGAGTTTGCAACTAGGGTTAGATTGTTGGGAGGCTTATAAAGGAAAAAACCACAAAGCAGTGGTGGGAGGGGATAAGGGTGGAGAGGCTTTTGTTCTTTTCTTTGGCTTCAGGGCAGAGTTCCTTGCTTAATCAGTTGCCTTTACTGGAAGTTTTGCAGCTGCCGGTTAGCGAGTTCCTCCTTTACAGAAAGTTGACAATTTGTGGTCAGCTAATTCCAGGAACAACCGTCCTTCACAAAGGGGGACAAAGGTTGAGACAGAGTACAGGGTTACCAGGGTAACGACACATACAGAACAGAATGGTGATGCTTTTGTTGTTGCACAACAGCTAACTCTGGAAAATTGCTGACAGTTAAGAAGTTATTCCAAACACTCAGGAGGCTGAGGCGGGAGGATTTCTATGAGTTTGAGGTGAGCTTGGGTTATAGGCTGAGCTGAAGTCCAGGCTGAACTGCAGTGAAACCTTGTCTCAAAAAGACCAAATAAATAAATAAAAATAACAACAACAAAATATAACCCAGTAATGAGGAGAGGGCGAGGGAACCCCGCTGGGCTCACATGGCCCTTTATGATCATTCTGGGGGTGTCAGCTTTTTTGGTGAGGCAGGCACCTCATTCTTGCAAAACAGGGAAATCAGGCTTTGCTTTTGCTGCTCTTCTTCCCTCTGAATCTGTTCTTTGGGCCTGAACAACTGAAATGCATTTCACACACTATGTTCAACCAATCCTCAGTTATTGGACAAGGAGATTACTTCTAAGTTATGAGTGTAGCTCAGTGGGGAGTGTTTGTCTAGCGTGCATGAAGCCCTGCAGTTTAACAGAATTGAGAAAAATAAAAAGAGGAAGTTGTCATTTAAGCAATAGCAAATAATAACCTGGCATGGAATGCGGAAGTAATGTCTCAGTGAGTGATCTCTGAGATAAATTCCTGGAAGTTAAATTCCTAAAGGGAGGGCAGGAGCCACTGTGTCTCTGCTGTTTCCTGAGGCCACTCCAAGGGGCACCCCTCAGGGATCTCTCTTTATCACCTCTGCTGCTCCTTGCTAACCTCAGAGATCCCAAGGGAGCTTGTTTCAATTTGCATTTGTATTACTTTAAGTGAGGTTGACGGCTCATCTGGGTGTAAAAGGCAGGTCTCTAGGATAGTGTGGTGGGGTATACCAGTAATCCCAGTACCCTGGGAAGCTGAGGCAGGAGCATTGCAAGTTCAAGGCTAGCCTACAAATTTAATGATTTAGCAAGACTCTAATTTCAAAATTAAAAAAAAAGAAAAAAAGAAGGAAGGAAGTGAGCTTATGATGTAGCTCAGTGTGAAGGCTTTGGGTTTAATCCCCAGCCTTGCAAAAAAAAAAAAAAAAAAACCAAAAGCAATACAACCAAAAATGAGACAATCAGAGCTGGGGATTTAGCTCAGTGGGAAAAGCACCTGCCTGGCAAGCACAAGGTCACGAGTTAGATCCCTAGTACCAAAGAGAGAGAGAGAGAGAGAGAACTCCTAACTCCCCCTCCCAAAAAGAACCCCCATTTTTGTGGTCAGGCTTTTTCTTGTTTTTGTCCAGAGGCTATTTTATTATATTTTGATTTTTTGAGATAAGGTCTCACTCTGCTGTTTAGGGGGGACTTGAGCTCACCATGCAGCCCAGGTTGCCCCCTCATGGGCATCCTCTGGCCTCCGCCTCCCTAGTGCTGTGATTACAGGAACGTGCCATCATTTCCAGAGCCTTCCTCTCTCTTCCTCCTTTCCTCCCTTCTTCCATTTCTCTTTATTTTCTGTATTACTGAGGTGACACCCAGGGCCTTCCTTGTGTTATAGAGGCATCTCTACCACTGAGTCATATCCCTAAGCCCCCAAAATGCTTTTCAATATTAAGGAAATTACTTCTAATTTATCTATTTACTCTGAGACATGATCTTGCTAAACTGCCCGGGCTGGAGCTAGCAGGGGCCAAAATCCAGTCCCGGTCCCTGACCACGTGCATGGGTTGGACCCCAGCCCAAGGGAAACTTTAGAACTTCACTCCCAGGTGGTAAGACCACACCCCATATCTGAAATCACTCTAAAACATATGGGAGTTAACCACGGATCTAAATGGGCCATGCCCAATGAACTCCAAGCAGCTAGCAGAGGCCAGAATCCAGGGCCAGGCCCAGAACGTGTGCTCCGGTTGAATTCCAGCACAGGGGGAAGCCTTGGAAAGTCCCTCCCTGGCAGTAAGACCGTGCCATGCATCTGAAATCACCAGAGGACACATGGGAGTCCCCACGGCCGACCTGGCCCATGCCCAGTGAGCTCCAAGTGGCTAGCAGTTAGCAGCAGTCTACCCAGGACACAAAAGTGGGCCAGGTGATGCCCAGTGCACAGGGGAAGCTTTGAAACATCACTCAAAACCCAGAAATATAGGAAAATGACAAAACAAAAGAGCAATATGCAATCGCAAACTTCCAACCTAATCCAAGCAAGCATAGGAGACATGGACTCAGAAGAAAATATAGGCCATACACCTGAAATTCCTGAAGTGATAACAACTGATGTAATGAAACAACTCTGGGGAGCTATAAAAGAACTCAAATCAGAAATAGTCTCCCAGGTAAAAGAAGAAATGATAAATGTAATGAAAGAAATATTGAATGCATCTAAAGAAGACATAGTTAAAAAATTAGAGGAACAGGCAAAAAGATGGAAACTCTGAATGAAGAATATAAGAAACAAACAGAATACATGAAGCAGATTCAAAGAGATACACAGGAAATCAGAAATTCCATTGAAAGTTGGCAAAACCACCTCAACAAAAGTGAAGATAGAATTTCAGACCTCAAAGACAAGATTGCAGCTAGTGAACAGGAAAAGAAAGGTCTTTTAAAAATAACAAGGAATCAGGAAATAACAATTCAACAGCTGCAAGATGACGCAAAGGAAAACAACATAAAATTGATAGGGATAAGTGAGAAAGAAGGGGACAACACAAATGATAACAAAAGGCTATTTACAGAAGTAATCACTGAAAATTTTCCAAACATGAGAATGGAAGCTGACATACAGATCACTGAAGCATATAAAACTCCAAATAGCCATAACCAAGATAAAACTACACCCAGACATATAATAATCAACACCCCAGAAATCCAACATGAGAATAGAATATTAAATGCTGTTAGAGAGACAAGACAGATCACCTATAAAGGAAAACCTATCAGAATCACAGCAGACTTCTCAATACATACAATGAAGTCAAGAAGAGCAAGGAGTGAAGTATTTCAGATCCTAAAGGAAAACGATTTCTAACCTAGACTGATGTACCTTGAAAAACTATCCTTCAAAATGGATGGAGACATAAGATACTTCCGTGACAAAGAACAGCTGAAGAACTTCATGATCACCAAGCCAACCATGCAAAGAATACTGAAAGACATTCTAGAAAGACACAGGGAAAAACCACTAAGCAAAGCAAATAATTAAACCGAGTGGAAAGATAAAGAATCACAGCAGAAAATAACATGTCAAAAGTAAACCAATATACATCAGTTCTAACCATTAATGTAAATGGCCTCAATTCACCAATTAAAAGAAACAGACTGGCAGAATGGATCAAGAAACAACATCCTTTAAATGTGAGTGTAATTAAAAAAAAAAGAAACAACATCCAACCATATGTTGTATACAGGAAACCCATCTAACCCAAAAGGAAACTCATAGACTGAAAGTAAAAGAATGGAAAACAATACTCCATGCAACAAGATTATTGTCTCCAAAACAGTCAGGAGTAAGCTATTCTGTTTGCAGACAATGTGAACTTCAAACCAAGAGTGATCCAGAGAGACAAAGAAGGTCATGACATACTAGTTAGGGGAAAACTTCAAGAGGAAGAGGTAACAATCTTAAATATCTATGCACCACATTTAGGAGCACCCAGCTATACAAAACAAATATTAACAGAAAATAAAAGTCAAATAAGCAATAACACAATTATAATAGGAGAGCTTAACACACCATTGATACAAAGGGACAGATCAACCGGACAGAAAATCAACAAAGAAATAACAGAACTGAATCACACCTGTGAACAAATGGATTTGATAGACATATAACAGAGTGTTCCACCCAACAACATCAGAACATACATTCTTCTCAGCAACACATGGAACATTCTCTAAAATAGATGATACACTAGCCCACAGAACACACTTAAGTAAATACAAAAGAGCAATCAGTGGGTTACACAGGAAATTAAAGAAGAAATTAAACAATATTTACAGGCAAATTAAAATACAAATACATCTTACCAGAACCTGTGGGACACAATGAAAGCCGTCCTCAGAGGAAAATTTATAGTGGTGAACTCCCACATCAGGAAAACAGAATGAACACAAATAAACAACCTGATGCTACACTTCAAACATCTAGAAAAAGAAGAGCAAGTCAAGCCCAAAGCCAAAAGAGAGGAAATTATAAAGACCAGAGCAGAAATCAATGCAATAGAGACTAAGGAAACAATACAAAGAATCAATGAATTAAAAAGTTGGTTCTTTGAAAAAATAAATAAGGCTGGGGATTTAGCTCAGTGGCATAAGCACCTGCCTTGCAAGCAAGCGGTCGTGAGTTCAATACCCAGTACCGATAAAAAAAAAACTTAGAAAAAATAAATAAAATTGACAGGCCTCTAGCCAATCTTATTTTAAAAAGGAAAGAAAAAACTCAGATTCATGCAATAAGGAATGAAAAGAGTGAAATCACTACAGACCCAGTGGAAATACAGAAGATCATCAATACATACTTTGAAAACCTCTACTCTCATAGGCTTAATAAACAGAAGAAATGGACAGATTCCTAGAAACATAGGAAGTATCAAAGCTAGATCAAGAGGATGTAAAACTGTTGAATAACCCAATTTCTATTAACGAAATTGAAAATGTAATTAAATTCCTACCAACAAAGAAAAGCCCAGGTCCAGATGGATTTTCTGTGGAATTCTGCAAGAAATTAAAAGAAGATTTAAGGCTGACACCCCTCAAAGTCTTCAATGAAATTGAAAGGGAAGCAATCCTCCCTAACTCATTCCTGGAAGCAAACATTACTCTAATACCAAAACCTGAGAAAGACCCAACTAAAAAAGAGACCTAAAGGCCAATCTCCTTAATCAACATAGATGCAAAAATTCTCAGTAAAATTTTTGGCAAACAGAATGCAGCGAATCATCAAGAAGATTATACATCATGACCAAGTGGGATTCATCCCATGAATGTAGGGATGGTTCAGTATATGCAAATCAATAAATGTATCCACCATATCAACAGAGCCAAAAATAAGAACCACATGATCATTTCTATAGATGCAGAAAAAGGTTTTGATAAGGTCCAACACTTATTCATGATAAAAACCTTACAGAAAACTGGAAGAGATGGTCTTTACCTCAATATGATAAAAGCCATGTATGACAAACTAACAGCCAGCATCATATTAAACATTCAAAAACTGAAGCCTTTACCTTAAAATCAGGAACAAGACAAGGATGTCCCTTATCATCACTCCTATTCAACATAGTACTGGAAATACTAGCCCGAGCAATTAGACAAGAGAGAGAAATAAAAGGAGTAAGGATAGGAAAAGAAGAAGTTAAATTATCATTATTCACAGATGTTATGACACCCTACATAGAGGACCCCTAAAACTCCATTGAAAGACTCCTAGGCATAATAAACAAATTCAGTAATGTAGCTGGATACAAAGTGAACACTCAAAAATCAATAGGATTCCTATACACTAACAAGAAAACCACTGAGAGAGAAATAAGAGATGCTATACCCTTTACAATCCGAGAAAATGAAGTACTTAGGAATTAATGTCCAAATGGATCAAAGATCTAAATATTAAAACAGAAACACTAAATTTGTTGGAAGACAAAGTAGGTAGAAATCTTAAAGACATAGAGGTAGGCAGAGAATTCATGAACAAGAATCAAACTGCACATGAAATACTTTACAGAATCAACAACTGAGATTGCATCTTATTAAAGAGTTGTTGCATGTGGAAAGAAATATCCTGCATAGTGAAAAGAAAACCCACAAATTGGGAAAAAAATCTTAGTGAACTGTGCCTCAGACAAAGGACTTCTGTCTAAAATATATAAAGAATTAAAACAAAGATTCAAAATTCAAAATTCAAAGACCCAGTCAAAAAATGGGCATCTGAGATAAACACACACTTCCCAGATGAAGAAATACAAATGGCAAATAAATACATGAAAAGATGCTCATCATCATTGGTCATTAGAGAAATGCAAATTAAAACCACACTGAGATTTCATCTCACTCCTGAAAGAATGGCCAGGATCAAGAAAACTACCAAAAACAAATGCTAGAGAGGCTGTGGGGAAAAAGGAACTCTC